TTTTGTTTTGTTATACTCTAAACAAAGTATAGAAGAGCCTTTATTTAATCTTATAATAATATGTTGATATCACAATTAGCTAATATTTCATAAATGTACAAAGAGAGTTGAGTTCCTGTAGAAATAGGGATTAGGAATGATCATTTTCTTTTAGGCTTTATATCTGGGTCCAATTTAATTCTTGGTCTCCAAATGATTGCTTATATTTGGTTTAACAAGTTTAATGCAGTTATTTGTCGATACTTACATGTAGGTCTTTCCTATAAGAATTGTGACCTCAATCACAGATTCTCTAGAAGAGATCTGCTTAAATTGTTCTGCTTTGTCGAATCCTTAAACATACCACAGCTTGATCTGTTTTGGGTTTGGAATATTGTTTACTTTGTAGATTGGTGTCTAGCTTTTGGTAAGCCTGAGGGGTTTTTAGATTAACTGTCCGAGGTCTGCAAATGATAGCAAAGCACCTACGTGAAGCTGTTGACCTCTTCATCCAGGTCATTGCTGTAACCCCTAGCTGGCTTTGGCTGTATTGTCAACCACTCTCTAATGCTAGTCCTCCCAGTGCCAGGCCCCTCTTCGCTAGGTGGTGCTGATACTTGCCGTTGCAGCTCCAGCTCATGGTAAAGGTAATTTTTCTAAGGCGAATCATTTATACAATATTTATTTAGCACTCAAGACCCAGCCCCTACAGAAGTAGGGAGTGGAGGGTTACAAAGATAACTAGGGAGCAGACCCTGACCTTGGGAGGGTATTCTCTTATTGTACAGAAATGGCAAGAGACCAAGTGGAAGAGGCCATAAAAGTGAGGCAATCTGATATAGTGGTTCAACACGCTGATACTGGAGCCTGAGTGCCTGGGTTCACATCCCAGCTTGTTCACTTACTAGTTTATGAGCTAAATTACTTAACCTGTCCATGCCTCAGTTTCCTCATCTGTAAAATGTGAATAATAATATTACCTCCCTCATTTGGCTTCTGTGAGTTAAATATGTAGAGCACTGCTGCTGATATAATCCCCCAGCTCCAGCATGTAAGTCCAATATAGGCAGTGAGCTTTGTGTTATTATTCACAGATGTGTCCCACATGCGCCTGGTACACAGCCACCACCTCTTGAGTAAATATGTTGAGTGAATAAGGGAGAGTTAGAAGATGGCTTTGTGAATTTAGCTGAGGCAGTGATGTGCAGAAGCACCAGTGTAACAGGGACTCAGAAACTCTCCAGTTCACTCAGTTTCTTCTAGATTTCTGTCCTGCTCATTCTAAAAAATATCTTTATCATTGAAGAATTCCATTTTCATAAGAAAGTCCTCCTGAGAAAATGCAGCAATGCAGAGGCTGGTTTTTCCCAGGTATTCTGCTGGAGAAGAAGGTTCCCATGCAGACCTTCCACCCTTGGGGACCCCTTCTTTGTGGGGGGCTGGCCTCCTGGCGTTGTTGCCACCCCTCCTGTCAGCTTCTCCCTCGCACTTTCTCTCTCCATTGAACAAACATCTTGAAGGCAAATGTCAAGACTAGGAATAAGAAGAGCTTAATTTGTCACATCGAGTACAGCTGTGCGTGGAACTGCAATTTGCATTTTAATGTCCTGCTTATTCCAGAAAAGTGGCATTTTACAGATTTCCTGTATTATTCATGAATTTCAAGGCTTTGTGGTTTAAAAATAAAAGTTCAGGTAATAACCAAGAATAAGGCAAGTTCCACTCTGTCAGGTTTTCCCACTCTTTCCTGGTCTCACCATTTTTCCATCTGTTGAAACATTTCATAGCCTGCTCCTGTTACGTTCCCAGATATTAGGAACAAATACATTTGAAAATGTTAAGTAAGGCACCGCATCTGGCTTCCTCATTAGCTTCAAATTCCCAAGACAACATGTGTGGTTAAAAAAAAAAGTCACTTAACTGCATAGAGAAACATGAACAGGTATCTAGCAGTAGGTTCCACAGCGTTTTTCTGTGATGAAGTGGATGAACTGTCCCTAGTGGAGGCCTGCCCCCGGCCACATGGCATTACAGAGTGGTAAAGCCTTGGCGGTCATCCTCCTTGTTGGGGTATGTGGGGTTTATAATGCTGATTAAAGATCACGTGTTCATCTGCCTGCTCTTCTAAATTATGTGGTTTTTAATGAAAACACAGGTTGGCCCAGGTCAGGGATCACCTTGGGCATATGTGCCGAGAAACTCCCCTCCCCAGAAATGCCTGGAACAAGCAGTATTTAAGATGGAAGCCAGGTGGAGTGAAAGCACTTTGCAGAAAGGCCACCTCCCTGTGGTGGCATGAATGTGGGCGAGGAAGCACACTCCAAGGGCAGGGGCATTCCTGCGTCAGCTTGCTGGCCAGGCAGCGCAGTGACTGCCTCCCAGTTCTCCTGAGCAGTGGGGACAGGCCCGCAGGACTCTGCGCATTGCTGTGTTCTGGGCTCAGTCCTTGTCATGGTGCAGTCTGAGGAGCAGTAAGAAATGTTGGGTGGGGTGGGGGGGAATCAATACAGTTTTAAGGACTAAGTAAAAAATAAGAATGAACCATGGTGTTATTTAAAATATATCACAAAATAGAGGCTGGAGGTGGATTGCTGGAAGTCCAGTACTGGTTCTCGGCTGAAATGGCTGTTAGCACGGGCAGTGTTAGGATTGATGGGGAAATGCAGAGTGCCATTCAGTAATTCAGGTGGTATTCATTTAGTGCAGGGGTCCTCAAACTTTTTAAATGGGGGTCCCTTAGACTGTTGGAAAGTGTGCACTGTGGTCCTGGGATGAGTCAGCTGCTAAGCAGGACAGGCAGCGGCGGCAAAACTCCTGGAGGGCCAGATAAATGTGCTAGGAGGCCCACATGTGGCCCTCGAGCTGTAGTTTGAGGATGCCTGATTTAGTGCCTGTGTACCAGGTACTGAGTCATGTGTTAGAAGGAGACGTGTGTGTGTGTGTGTTGGGTAGGGGGTGGAGGAGCAGACAGACAGGGAACATCACAAAGATCACAAAGGAATTTGCCTCTAGGATTTAAAAATCCTCTAGTTGGCTCTCAGACACAACTATGTTGCTGCAACTTTTTAAATTAGATTATGTCTGAGATTTATGTCTTTCTGAATGATGAAACACCTTTGATGTTTTAATTGCCTGTAAGTGATGTCTATGGGACAAAGAAGTCTTTGCTGCAGTTCTGTCTGCATGTTTCATTCATTCATTCATCCAGCCAATATTTATTAATGCCCATGTCATATAAGCCATTGTACAAGGGTTTGGATTTAGTGCTGGACAAGGAAAAATGTGGTTCCTGTCCTAGTTCATCTTATGTTACTGGGGATCCAGACAAATAAGTGGGCGCCTGTAGTCCAGTGCAGTTGATAATGAGTAGACACCCTGAGAACTCAGAGCGGGGCACTCACTGGGACTGGAGAGTCTTTCTGGAGGAAGCAGCATCCACGCTGATGTCTTAAGAATGAGTGTGGAGTGGTCCTGGCAGAGAAGCAACCTGTGGGATGGAGGGAGCCTGAGTCTTTCCCAGAGTGGTTGACAGCTTGCATGGTTGATGAGTGAGCTGGGAAGTAATATCGAACCGGATGTGCTGAGGCCAATGACAGAGTCAAGTGGTCAGCTATTACACCTTTGCTCTGGGTCAAGGCAGGAATTGTCAGGCTTTCTTCTGACCCTCTCACCTGGAGAGTGGGTTGGCTCCACAGAGGACAGAGTGAAAGACGGTGGTCAGATCAGCACACATTAATATCCCCATTTCTGAAACCAACTTCTTGGCTTCCTGACACCCAGGAAGTGTCAGGTGTGAGTGATATTGGCTCAGTCGTAGGTCATTTATTATAAAGACTACTCCACTTATGGTAATATTGGGTGACTATCTTTAAAAACCTACATAGTAATAGAATTTGTACTTATAGCTGCCACTTACTGAGGATGACCTAAGTGCCAGGCACTGTTCTGAGGGTTTTTTTAAAGCATATTATGGGGGTACAAATTTTAAGGTTTCAATAAATGGCCTTTCCCCCACTTCCCCCACAAGTCTGAGTTTCCAGCATGACCATCCTCCAGATGGTGCACATCTCACTCATTATGTATGTATATACCCGCCCCCCTCCCACCTGCCCAATACCCTATTACTGTAGTACCTATGTGTTCACTTAGGTGCTGCTCAGTTAATACCAGTTTGCTGGTGAGTATATTGAAAGTGTTCTTATTTAAACCTTGACACAGTCCTGCAAGGGAGGAGCTGTCACATTCCTGTTGTGTAGATGAGGACCAGAGGCTCTGGGAGATGAAGTGACCTGCTCTTGGCCTCTCACCTAGGCAGGGATTAGTGCAGGGATTCAAACCCAGGCTGTTTGTCTCAGAGGGTGGGCACAGAACCCCAATGTTTGGGCTGCAGAGGAAGAACAAGATGGAGGGGTTGTTAATGGGTCTTTTCAGAGTCCTTTGTCATTAATTTTAAGATAATGAAAGAATTTTACAGGGATAAATGGTAATATTTCCTGAGCTGGTGGTATCATGATTAGAGAGTTTTGTATGTAGTATATTTTTTGAAAGATAATGTATAAAATGTTATACAACTCCACATCATCTGTTTAATATGACTTGTCTTAGCAAGAAGGTAATTAATTCCCATCTTTCTCTGTGTAATTGTATCGTACCTGTCAAGAACTAAATTTTCTAGAAATCTTGCTGGAAGTCACAGAATAAAAATAATAATTACACAGTCACCTTTCTCCCACGGGCAGACCTAGTTGGAGAAATTCACAGTGAAGAACCAGCGCCTAATGGAGCACGAGGAGGGGCACTGGCAGAGGTGGATTGTTCTGAGTTAGTGAGGGCTGCACGGTAAAGCAGGGGCGTCACAGGAATTGAAGCAGGTGACAAGGACAGGCAAATGTACACCATTCAAATAATGGGTAAAGAAAATAGTAAATTTTAACATCAAATTAAAATTCAGGCTATTTCTGGTAGCATTATAAATATTCTAAAAAGGCCATAACTGAAGTCAAAACACTAAAAATGCTGGATAAAATTAAAAAAATATGTATCATTTTAATTGCCTGGCTGAGCTGCCAGGAAAGCAGGAGGAATCCTTAGAGGTCTGAGATGGAGAGGAAGCCAGCAGCCCGAGAGGTCAACCAGTGTGGAAGCTGGTGGGCTCTGTTGGGGATAGCTTGCTGATTTCTGGTGACCGAGAACCTGGAAAATATATAAGGACCGCATTCGGAGTAGGAAATAAGCACAGGGCTTTTACAAAGTGAGGACCGAGATTGTAGTTACCACCCAAATCTAGGACTCTTAAAAGGGGGACCTAAGGGGAGAACTTGCACTAACTTAGCAGGGAAGTCTGCCTTGTTTAACCCTGATGCTGGCGAGTGGGAAGTCTTTCTTGAGAATCTGTGACCATCGCAGGCACCCATGGGATTTGGGGTTGAGTTCATACTACTCCTGAGGCCCAGGAAAAACAAACACAGAAACCTCAAAGTGGAATTTAGCTTAAAGGGGTCTTAGATTGACAGTGCTGCCTGCCTGGCAGAAATGGATGTCAGTGGTCACTGGTGGAACAGACCCTCAGAGAATCCCCGCAGTTCCAGTTCCAGTACTTAGGGGCTCACGATCACCAGAACATAGAACTCAGCAGGAAACAAGACACTGCTACCAAAAACCACACACAGCACAATCGGATCTGCAGACTTTACATGTTAAAATGATCAAATACCAAACTAAAACACCCATGTTTACTGTGTTTAAACAAGTAAAAGATGGAATCAAAAGTATGAGCAAGGAATAACAACAAAAACTTCCAAAATTATCAGACAGATTTGTGGGAAAGAGGAGAAAAAGGCTTCGGGATGGGTGGTGGTAGAAAATCGTACAAGCCTCAAATGAACACTTGGGAGCCTCAGAAGCATCTTCGTGGGTCAAGGGTTTACCTTGTTTGGAGGATCCTGATTGAGTCTAGCTGGCCATTTAAGGGTACTGTCATATTTTTTCTCACGATGCCTTTCCTCTGGAAGGATCCAGGTGATCTCATTTCTTGAGGTCTAGGAAAGGTGATGGGGCATGATTCTAGAAATCTGATTGGTCAAGGAAGTTAAGAATTCCAAAGACATTTTGGAAAGATTTAGCTTCATCATTGCCGTCGTCATCATCATCATCATCATCATCATCCCCATTTGTACTTATGAAGCACATATATTATGTTTCATGCATTATACTGAGCACATAATGTGGATTGTTTTACTTTAACCTTATTATAACCTTTTTTTTTTCCGGGACAGATTCTCACTCTGTTGCTCAGGCTAGAGTACCATATCAGCCTAGCTCACAGGAACCTCAAACTCCTGGGCACAACCAATCCTTCTGCCTCAGCCTCCTGAGTACCTAGGACTACAGGCATGCACCACCATGCCAAGCTAATTTTTTCTATATATATTTTTAGCTGTCCAGCTAATTTTTTGCTATTTTTTTAGCAGAGACGGGGTCTTGCTCTTGCTCAGACTGGTTTCGAACTCCTGACCTTGAGTGATCCGCCCACCTTGGCCTCCCAGAGTGCTAGGATTACAGGCATGAGCCACCAGCCTATTATAACCTTCTTAATACTAGTACATAAGTACTATTCTTAACCCTGTGTTACAATTGGGATAATGAAGCCTTAGAGAGGTTAAATGGCTCACTCAAGCTTAAGAGTTAGACGTCAGGTGCGAATCCAGTTAACTTGATGTCCAGGCTCACATTCTTGAACTTTGTGCCTCTGGAAGCTGCCCAGTGTCCTCCTGGAGAAGCAGAGCGGCCAGCGTGGAACCCGGAGGAGTGTGGGGGCTAGGGTGCACTTCTTGCCTGTGACCGTGGAATTGGACAGCTGGGGACCCAGCTAGGAGGAGTCTCTCCAGGATTACCTGTATTTGTGATGTCCCATTAATGACAGGAATTGGCCTCCCAAAGTGGTAACCAGGACAGAGCCAGCACCGTCAATGCTTCGTCCTGGAGTCCAGTTTGATCCAGGCAGAGAAGTAAGAGAGCCAAGGTCTGGAGCCAAAAGAGAAAGTGCCCAGAACAAGGAAGAAGGGCCTAGCGCCAGGGCTTGGAGAAATTCTTGAGTAAGGTGCAGATTGTGATTTGACTGCTGCTTGCATTCAACGTAGCCAGTGGCAAGGTTATGTCAGGAGCTAAATTGTAATGATCAAAGGACAGTGGCAAAAGGGCTTCTCCCACCTAAATCCAGATTTTGATGCAGAAAATCTGAAGCATGAATATTTCTTTAAGTTGATGGAAGAGGGCTTCTAATTCTGATTTTCTGCTAAGAGAAATAAAGGAAGAAGCCTTATATAGCAAGACAAAAATATTTGAAATAAAAACATTTGAAATCAGATGTTTTTTGTTTTTTTTTTTCCTGGTAGAATAGCACACAGTATTTTCTAGGAAAAGTATTTTCATTATCAGATTCTTATCTTCAGTTAAAAGATAACTAGTAGCATTGCATTGGCCACATTTTACCCTTCAGATGTCTTCTGGATTTTCTGTAGAACATGAAGTCACTTTTCTAATTGTTTCTAGAGAAGAATGTCTAAAAGACTTTTTTCCTGTGTGAAAGAAATATTTAAAAATAAAACTTCAAAAGCTTGTTGGTCATTTATTTGTTAGGAATTTGGCCTCAATTCCTTACTCTCACTATTCAACTTTTAAATGAATGAGACATATTCATATGTATTAATACTGATAGAGAGAGAGATGCCCAGGATAGACTGTGAAGACAAAAGAGCAAGGTCTAGAATATGCATAGAGAATTTCTGGAAGAAATTTTTGGAAGAATACACTGTTAACAGTGATTACTTCAGGGCAGTGTTGGAGAAATGCAGAAGAGGACTTTCACTTTTTAATTCATACTATTTTGTGTTATTTCAAAGTTTTGCTTTGGTCATACATTGTTTTCTAATATGAAAAAATGAGAATAGTTTCAAAGTTTTAAATTTCAAGCCATTATCTGTTATACATGTAAACATTTATCCCTTGAAAGGGAGTTTTGTTTGTCTGTGTTTTCTTCTTCAAACCCATTGAACTCTTAGGAGGGGCAGGTGGAAAAAATTGTCTTCCATGAAACCGGTCCCTGGTGCCAAAAAGGTTGGGAACCACTCTCTTAGGTCATTTCTTTTGCTTATAACACAATACCTGAAACTGGGTAATTTATAAAGAAAAGGAATTTATTTCTTATGGTTATGGAGGCCGCATCTGATGAGAGCCTTCTTGCTGGTAGGGACTCTCTGGAGGTGGCTCAGAGCATCACATGGCTCAGGTGCTGAGCGTGCTAATGTGCTAGCTCAGGTTTTTCTTCCCCTTTTTATAAAGCTTCCAGTTCCACTCCCATGATAAACCATTAATGCCTTAATCCATGAATAGATTAATCCATTCATGAGTGCAGAGCCCTCATGATCCATTTATCTCTTAAAGGCCCCACCTCTCAGTATTGTCACATGGGGGATTAAGTTTCTTTTCTTTTCTTTTTTTAGTAGAGATGAGGTCTCGCTCTTGCTCAGGCTGGTCTCAAACTCTTGACCTCAAGGGATCCTCCCGCCTGGGCCTCCCAGAGTGCTAGGATTATAGGTGTGAGCCACCGCCCCGGCCAAGGGGATTAAATTCCAACATGAGAGGGGACTGACATTCAAACCATAGCATAGGAGAGTAATGAGGAGTCTCATTTTGTCCTGTGGTCTACACTGCTATGCTGGAATGACTGGGGGTAGAGTAATGTCATCATCCTGCCCTTTGGGATTCATGGTTCAGTTTGTTAGAATTAACTTTAGGGGAACTGAGGAGGAAAGAACTGTAGGAAATTGTACCTTGGAAGTATCCACAGAGGAATTTTCAAGATTGAAGAGAAAGAGATGAAGAAGCATGTGTGATTTGGGGTGGTGATTGGGGAGGTGACATCGTTACTCTTTGACACAAATGGTGTTCTCTCATACTGTTCCTATCTATTTCTCACTTCCCACCAGCTATCACAAGAAAGGAATTCAAGAGCTCACTTCCTGATTCCCTCAATTGCACCATAACCCCCTTGTACGCAATTGCTGGCTGCCTTCTCCAAATCTGTTCTTCATTTTTCTTTATATTAACAGAGCCCTGGTTTTGTTTAGGATGGCAATGCTTTCAGTGGAAATACTTGCCTCCAGCCTCTCTTGGTGCTTGGTGGTCAGGTTATATAGTCCTAGTTGGTGAGATGAAAATGACAATTCTTGGAGGTGGCACCTGGAAAAGTCCTTAAAAATAGACAGACTTGGTTGGCTTTTCTTCTACCTTTGGTCTTTTGTCTGTCTTCTTGCCTAGAACACGGATGGTATATGCCTCTTTTTGTAGGAGACATCTTAAAGCCACAAAGTAAGTTGGTTAAAGATAGGAGTTTAGAAGGCCGTTGGGTCTCTGATGGCATTGTGGAGTGACCATACCTGTCCTGGACTGCCCTGAGGAATACTAATCTTATTTGGCTAAGCCACTTTGGTGAGCTTATATTATATTCAGCCAAAAGCCTTCATAACTGTTACACTCTCACTTACTCTACAAAATAAATAGTTGCTCTTATTTGGCATGCCACAGTGAATTCTTGCCAGACCTCAGCTGAGACCTTCAGTTAATTAGGTTTTCCTTCCTTTGCATCTCTGTAACAACACTGACACTGTGCAACCTCTGGAATCATCAAAGAAAATTCGATTATAGTCTGTAGACTATATTTATTTAAGTAGAAATCTGCTTAATAATATTTTCAAAAGATGTTTCAATAAAGAACAAAACATTAACCTTGAATTCAAAGAATAAAACCATCTTATTCCCTAAGTATTCTGCTTAATCAACATTTTCACACCTGGTATTTTACTCTGCTTAAATGTTCATTTTAAAATTTTAAAAAACTCACTTTCTTTCAACCTATGTGAAATGTGAGGTGTGAAGTTTGGAAAATTGCCTGTGTGACTAAATCAAATTTAAGTCATAAACTTAAAGAAAAATAGTTCAGCTTCACATTTTGTCTAAGGTTAATAGAACTTGTCTACATATTAAAGGATATAAAGATTACCTATGTTCTGCTTTTTGAAATAAATATCCCTGAATGAGAGTTGACCAACATACATATGTGTGAGGGTGCATTTGAATTAAAGCATTTGAAAATGAAAAGTTAGAGACAACATAAGAAGGAGACAATGTCAATTTGACAGATTTGAGAGATACTGGATATTAAAATTGCCGGGCGTGGAGGCTCACGCCTGTAATCCTGGCACTCTGGGAGGCCGAGGCGGACGGATTGCTCGAGGTCGGGTGTTCGAAAGCAGCCTGAGCAAGACCCCGTCTCTACTAAAAATAGAAAGAAATTAATTGACCAACTAAAAATATATAAACAAAAAATTAGCTGGGCATGGTTGTGCATGCCTGTAGTCCCAGCTACTTGGGAGGCTGAGGCAGGAGGATTGCTTGAGCCCAGGAGTTTGAGGTTGCTGTGAGCTAGGCTGACAGCACGGCACTCACTTTTTTTGAGACAGAGTCTCACTTTGTTGCCCTAGCCAGGGCAACAAAGTGAGACTCTGTCTCAAAAAAAAAAAATTATCCATATTTTTCATAATTAAAATATTTATGAATTTAAGTAGTCAAATGTTACAGGCATGAAGTAGCACCAAGAACACATTAGGAGGAACAAAGACAGGTTAGATACTATTGTTCAAAACTACCATGTTCAATATGGTAGGCGGTAGGCACATGGGGCTATTGAGTACTAGAAATGTGGTCTCTGAGAATTGTGATGTGCTGAAAATGTATCATATACACTAGATTTAAAAGACTTTATGCAAGGAAAAGGATGTTAAAATATCTCACTAATAAATTTTTACATTGATTATATGTAGAAATTATATTTAGTAGGATATATGAGATTAAATAAAATTCCTTATTAAAACTAATTTTACCTATTTATTTTTACTATTTTTTACTAGAGACTTGAAAATACATATGTGGCTTGGATTTGTGGCAAACATTTTGTTTCTTTTAGATGGTGCTGGTCTCA